CCTATCCCCCTGTGTGCCTTGCCTCCCACGACTATAAAGTAAAACCTGCTTGAGCATCATAAAATATACATAAATTTGGATCCCAGAGCAAATAATAATATTTAACCTATTTAACTCGAGTAACCCTAGGATGTCATATTACAAAATGCTACGATTGTTTAGGGCTATAAACCTCCAACAAGGGCAATTCGAGCATTTTCTCAACAAATTTATTGAGGTACCTAAAAGGGCAATTTAAAAATAAACACTATGTTAGTACAAATTGTTGATATAATCACCTGATTAATTTTAACTTTGAAATGGTCTATCAATTCCTCCTTAATTTTTTTTATTTTTTTTTAAGTATAATGGTACCCAAAAATAAATATTGGGTTATTATGTGCTTGTGGAGGTACAGGACCACCGTATGATCGTATCATGGAATACCAAACGGCACTACACTGCTTTGGTGCTCAAATGCATTGTTTTAAGCCAGGTGGTGCTTTTAAAACATTGAAATCAATGAAACCATTGTTTTAAAATTTTTATGTCGGATGAACCGAGCAAGCTAATCCAGATCGATTATCGGACTGATTCTCCTAGGTGAGAACCGGTCAATAAGAAAATAAAAATAGAAAAAAAAAAAGAATAAAATACAAATCATGGGAATTGAGAGATCCACATCGCCATTCCCGACATAATAATCATCATGGAACTGGCTTATTGTTTCATAGGACTAACCTAATTCTTAGTTTCAATCGAGAACCGGATCAATTGCAGCCAATTCCAATTCGAATCGGCTTGTCCCGTCCAAATCGGTGGGTTTTGAATCACCAATTGTAACTCCAAATTAACAATGAAGAATTGGAGTCCACTTCCCCCGTACAGAGAGTGTTTTCCTTTTAAAAGTCTAATTACCTTGGTAGCCCCTTAATTTTTGCCATTAATCACAAGTGCCCTAATAATTGACAATGCAACCACTTTCTAACGGATAAAGTTTATATTAGTTTGCAACTTCATACTGCAGAAAAACTCAACAAATCTATTGAAAAAAGTTTTTATGATGTAAACCATCTAATTAATCATCTTAACCTCAAAATGTACGGTGTAGAAAAAAATATTTTAAAGTTGAAAAATGGTACATCTTTTAATATACTATCTAGACCATCCATTCCCAAGATTTTTAGCTATATGTAAATTTGTTTGATTTGTATTGTTTTTTTAGTTTTAAATTTCATAATTAGATATAAAATAGATTTTCATGCCATCATTAAAATTTTCAAGACCAAAATTACATAACTTGAAGTGTGCTTTACTTGGACTGTTTAAAGTTGACCCATATATAAACTACAAAAAAAATGAAATAAATAAAGCCTATTTGATTACCATTCTTGGTTTAGCCTATTCGATTACCATTCTTTTTTTATTGTTTTTGGGTGAATTAGTCTTGGTTGATTGAATTAGACTAATCAACCTCTTTTTGAAACCAACCACATAACAATAACGTCTTTTTTTATTCTCTCTCAGGACAAGTTTAAGTCATAAACCAAAGGTGGTATGCTGATTTGGAGTTTAAGATGCCATTGAATTATTGCAAATTCTCCGACATGTACTGGTGTGGACACAATCTCAACCTAGACGCCACAGTGGGGGTGTAAACAAAAGATGGTCTAGACTTCGCTTCATATATACTAGAAGACGGTCTGACACACTATATGCAAGATAAGTTTTATTGGATAAATGAGAGAAACGTAGTCTTAGAGGAGGGCATTTTTGTCTTAAACATTATGATTTTTGCTTAGGGATGGGGGTACAAAAATAAATAGTATTGGAATTAGTGTTGTAGTTTAAAAAATCTTTTTTTTTTTATGTATGTACGAGGGGACGGGAGGGGGGCGGGGGATATTAGAAACTGCATTTCTATATATTTGAGCCTTAGGCACCCATGGAAGAATATTTCAAAATACTGTAGAAAACTCTCTCTTTATTGATTAATCAATAATATACAAGACTCTGTATAAATATACGACCAGTAATAGTTAAAGATAAATACCAACAGTTATGGATTGACACTATCTAATATAATCAAGAGATATGTATCCATACAGATGCATATATCCACATTGATATGTATCAATATGATACATATTCATATCCATATGTTAACATATGATATATATAAATTTTCCTATTTCTAATTGTTCAAACTTTTTTTATGATTTCTATTTAGTTTTAGCTAATTTTGGCCAAAATACATATATTTTAATTAAAGTAAAGACAACTTTTTCATAAATATGTATTTATAGGTAAACTTGCCTGTAAGTTTATATCAAATAACATTACGATGGACACTCACATGTAACAAATAATTCATGATGAGAATAACTCTATTGAAACAATAATTTATCAATCAATGATAATCGATATGTCGAAATAGGTCCTTAGCCGAGTAAAATTGGTTCTTATGGAAAGAAGGCTGGCAGTTTGAAGTCGAGTAAAATGGGTGGGGGAGGGAGGGGAGCATGCCTATAAAGTTAGGTACATGGGATGTAAAAACTGTATTTTTTTATATTTGGGCCTTAGGCCCATGGAAGAATATTTTAAAATACTGCATATAACTCTCTTTTTATTGATTATTCAATAATATACAAGACTATGTATAAATATATAGCTAGTAATAGTTAAAGATATATACGAACAGTTATGGATTGACACCACCTAATCTTATCAAGAGATATGTATCCATACATGCATATATCCATACTGATATGCATCAATATGATACATATTCATATCCATACGTTAACAGGGGATATATATAATTTTTCAATTTCTAATTAGAGTAATGATCTTGTAGGACCCTCCCTCACTCATGTGTGTAGGACCCAAATGATCACCATTAAAGTTAGCACGGATCTCTATAAAAGTTATCACACGGGTGTGTGACTTGAGTTTTCTATAAATCCGTGTCAAATTTAATAGTGATCATCTGGGTCCTACCCACATGGGTGGGGGAGGGTCCTATATGGTCATTTATCTTCTAATTATTCAAACCTTTTTTATGATTTCTAATTAGTTTTAGCTAATTTTGGCCAAAATACATATACTTTCAATAAAGTAAAAACAACATTTTCATAAATCTGTATTTATAGGCAAACTTGCCTATAAGTATACATCAAATAACATTACGATGGATACTCTCATATAACAAATAATTCATTATGAGAATAACTTTATTGAAACAACAAATTATCAATGATAACCGATATGTCCAAGCCGAGTAAAATTTGTTTTTATGGAAAGCAGGCTGGCAGTTTGAAGTTGAGATGAACCAAATGAGACGCAAATGTTACGAGAACTCGATACTAAAATCATTTTCATCGTCTTAATCTACAAGGAATTAAGCTCTCTCTCATAACTTAATCTCTATTGCTTTATGTATTGATTAAAAGTATTTATATTTTATTAAAATCAAGGATTTTTACAAAAAAAATAACAACAATTAGTCTGCAATTCTAAATGAAGAGAGCCAGATGCACTCATGAATAAATCTTCTCAATTAAACTTATGTTTAGTTAACAAATCTGCATCTTCACCAGCTTTCTTATAGACATGCACAGAGGAAATCATCATGCTCTTATAGATGTCAACTACTACAATTACACAGTCCTCAGTTTCCAAAGGACCATTTACTAGGTTTAGGTCTGCATTGGACCAGCGTTCACAAAATCGAATCCGAACGGTTAAATGGACATGGCCAAGAAGCGATTTAACCAGCCTAACCGGTAAAGCGACTAATTCAACCATTCTAATCCGGACAAGTTCCGAGCGGTAAAAAAAGTGTTGAAAAAATAAAAAATAAATATAAAAAAATATACTAAAATATGAAAAGCATATAAATAATGATTATAACAAAACATATTCAAATGAGGTTGAAAATTAATGAAAAAAATAGAGTTTAATGAATCGATTTTGAATTAAAGTGAGTATCAATGACAAAAACTATTTTTAATATTGACCATAATGTAAAGAATATTAAAAAATACGTTACAAACCAAATTCTTTATTTTGGGGAATTTATATAACATTTTTTTGATTTTTTTTTTAAATACCAATCGATCATCAAAACCGGAACCACCTACTGGCCAGTTCCGATCTAACCAGGCGATTAGCGGTTAGATCGCCCGATTTTTCTAACAATGCATTAGACCCATAAGAGTTAAAGTAAACCGACACAGACCTAATTGCTAAG